TTGTCTAGTCTATTGACGAACTGGTATCGACTCACGCGCTCGCGAGTTAATTATCCGCGAGATTTATTCTATCATGTATCGACTTTCACTTATCATTATTTGACCAAAAGGTTATATTATGATTCTATTTTATGGTAATATACTATATTATTTATATTTTTTGCATATAGAGGAATTTAGTAGCCCATTTTTTTGTACATTGTAGACGGGGAGTTAAGGCAAGCTCATTTTGACTGAGTTACCCCCTCGTTGTGTGCGCTCAGAAGTTGTGTGTGCTCAGTGTTACTGGGTTGGGGTGACACGGTTTCGACTCGAAATAGGCAGAGCCAAATTTGGGCTTGCTAGAATAAACTCCACCTCAGTTCTGGGCATAACTCTTAATGAGTTCCACTAATAGGCTAATAACGGCATAGGTGGAGTTTTTGGATAGTTCCAGATTTTGGCTGAGTTGGGCGGTTAACAGCCGTTCAATTTGCACCCTCGTGGTAGAGGTTAATGACCTCTGCGCTCGAGCAAATTGTCAGCCGCTTATTGGAGGCTCGTACTCTTGAATAGTCGTGCTTTTGAGGCGTAACTGCCACCCCGGTTCTGTGTTCTTGGCAGTGTATTAGGGTTAGAACCCCTAGTCTCTGCGGCTGGTCGTTGGCTTCTTGGTGCGGTTAGTTCCCGTATCATTTGCTATCCGTTTGTTGATTTGGCAGTGTATTAGGGCTAGAACCCCTAGTCTCTGCGGATGGTCGTTGGCATCTTGGTGCGGTTAGTTCTCGTATAATTTGCTATCCGTTCTGTGATTTGGCGGTGTATTAGGGCTATAATCCCTAGTCTCTGCGGCTGGTCGTTGGCATCTTGGTGCGGTTAGTTCCCGTATCATTTGCTATCCGTTGGTGATTTGGCAGTGTATTAGGGCTAGAACCCCCAGTCTCTGAGGCTGGTCGTTGTTATCTTGGTGCGGTTAGTTCCCACATCATTTGCTATCCGTTTGGTGATTTGGCAGTGTATTAGGGCTAGAACCCCTACTGCTGCTGGTCGTTGGCATCTCGGTGCGGTTAGTTCCCGTACCATTTGCTATCCATTTTGTCATTCTCAGCTGTGTATTGGAGCTCATACTGTGTAGTTTCTCGGCTGTTTGTACTCCTGGAGTGTCAAGCCTTCTTCAATGAACTTTTGGTCTAAGAAGGATAATAAATTGTGCGCCTCGTATGAAGAAACTTGTAATTTGCCCGAAGATTACCAGTATACTACGGAAAGTTCCTTGTGTTTATTCTTCCTCTCTCCAACGCAAGGGAATTTAGAGCCGGACCAAAGAGCGACTCTTTAGCCCTTGTGTTTTTAAGATCAGTGCGAAAGTCTACACTAAGTCGGCACGCTACCCGTAAATATTTCAACTTCGCGGCGTTGTTTCCGGTTACACACGGGACGTCCATGTCTGACGACGCTCTAACGATGGGGGGCTTGACTAATGTATCATATCTTTTGAAATGTAAAAAATTCCGTATATAAAAATTGCGTCTGTATACAGACGACCGAACGATGAGGACTTCAACATTATATTACACCATATAGAAGAGAAATATACTACCGATATTACTATCACACACAGAATACAAACTATGTCTACGTCTGAAGACGAACAAAGGATCGGCGTACCATATAATACGAAAAAAGTAATTGAACAACCCAGCGTCTCATACTGATCAAAAGCGATAGCTACGCATGATGCCGAACAAGGAATGAAAGAATCAAGTAATAATCATATCATATATCCAAGAAATAACCATTGAACATAATATCGTGACAAACTGAACACGAGCACTGCCTATGTCTGTAAAGAATAACAAACAATGGAGGACTCATGTAAGATATCACAGAGCACAACAGGAAGAAAAATTAACATCATATCATCATGAACTGAACACAAATAATGTGCGTTTATAAGTTACTTTTTAAAGACAACACTTCTGAAGAATACAGTGTCTTGGATGTTACACATGAACAATTAATTTCTAATTTTATTTTCAAATATTAAAAAAGGTACTTTTACAGAACTTTTTTTAATATATAAAAGTTTTGTAAATTTTCAAAATTATTTATTCTGTCAACTGATTCATGCATTGTGTCTGACTTGATGCAAGTGTGCAAAATTTCAGATCGATTGGACAGGTACAAGTGTGTCAAATTTGGATTATAAGATTTGTTACAGACAAAATTATTTAATTTTTTTAATATATAATTTTTTTATTTATAAATTTATTTATTCTGTCAATTGATTCATGCATTGTCTCCAATTTTAAACATGTGTGTAAAATTTCAGATCGATTGGACAAGTAGAAGTGTGTCAAATATTGATTATAAGATTTGCAGCAGACAAAATTATTTTTACATTTTTAATATTGGAAAAAAAATTCTATTTCTAAAATTGTTTATTCTGTCAATTGATTCATGCATTGTCTCCAATTTTACGCAATTGTGCAAAATTTCAGATCCATTGAACAGGTTGAAGTGTGTTAAATATCGATTATGAGATTTGTAGCAGACAAACAAACAAACAAGTTGAAACAACAAGAAGCAAAGTTAAAGAGAAGTCAGAAGTGTTGTAAAAATAACAAAGCCCCAAAGACGATGAGGACTCTAGTATCATACCTATGAACAGTGCATATTGCCTGCACATATGCAGCAACACGGCCTGTGGATGCAATGTCCCTCGATTTTGCCAAAGCATTTGACAGTGTTCTGCATGAGCGGCTGTTGCGTAATGTGAAGTCTTTGGGAATTGAGGGAAACGTACTACAACGTACAAACGTTTCAGAGGAATTACCATTAAGACTAATATAAGTTCTGCCTTCTTACGGTACTCTGTTTTGCAGAGCACGTCATGTGAAGATGGACTGAAAATAAGAAGCACAGTAAGATTAAGAAAATCTGTGTATTTCATTCACCTAACCATCTGCGGCCTCTGGCAATGAGGCCATTTTAATCAATAGTGGATAGCAAATGAGGAGGAGGGGAAATAACACAAATTAATCCATATCAAATCCATATCAAATGTCCGATTACATGTTTATTAAGATTTTTATATAGCTATTTGACTCCATGCGTATCTCGCTTTAACACTGCTGTTTTACTCCAGCATAAGTCATACCATTTCCTGAGCGGTACAATTTTTTAGTAAATGGTGTTGCAACGCAAGGCGGTACTAATCAATGGTCGTCTGACAGAAGTTGAAAAATCAGCCAGTTTTATCTTCCCTCTCAACTTCCCTCTCACTAATTTAATCAATAATTTCTTTCGATATGAGTAAATTTAATTACTCTGGTCAGTCTGGTTTATTTGCCTATTTGCATGGTAATAACTTCACACCTACTTAATCAAACTTTATTTAAATTTCACGAAATAAGACTCAAGTTCAGAGAGTTGAAAAAAGAGGAACTTAAATAGAATAATATGCATTTACAAATTATTTTTTTTATGACAACCCTTTTAAAGGGGCCGTGTCTCCGATGTTACACGTGTACAATGAATTTCTTATATTGTGTTTGTAGGTATGTCAATGATATCTTCGATGTCGTTCGAGACGAAGAACAACTGAGGAATCTACGAATGACCTTCGAAATAAATTCTGGCTTGGAGTTTACCTATGAGCTCGGACAATATCTTACATTATCTTTTTTAGATATTCATCGTCCAAGCTAAAAATAATTCAATCGTAAGCAATGTATACCAGAAATCGGCAAATGTCGGGAGAGTCCTGAACGCCTCCAGCGAACGCCCAGAGCGCTACATAAGAAGCGCAATTCATGCTCTCATCCAACGAGCTCTCAAAACCTGCTCATCTGAAGATGACTTAAATACGGAGTTGGGAAATTGCAAAAGAATCTTAGTCTATAATGGATTTACCAATAGAACAGTCGACGCAAAAATCTCAAACTTCGATCGAACCAAAACTGACTAAACAAAGAACCAGAGTCTAAACGCGATCGTCACAACCATCTACTACAAGAATCACATGACCAGCGGTTGTAGAGGAGATGAACGAATCCTCCAATCCAACGTTCACAACAACATCGTGAGCGTGAATAACAATAAAATTAAACTACTGATCTATTATAAAAACAAGAAACTACAGAATCCTTTTATGACCAATAACCCCTGCAAAAAAGCGGGAGTTTTCCAAGAGACCAATGTAGTCTATAAGTTTTCCTGCATTAGAGAAGGTTGTTGACTTCTCCCTAATATGGAATGGACTACATCGGGCTCACAACTACGACATTAAGCCGACGTTTCACGTGCGTGACACCTTCAGCCTGGTGGAGCAAGAAACCACCTGATGGAAGCTCACATCACTCGTACTGTACTGGAAGAATACGCCAGCGTCGTCATGCGATGCCCCGACGCCAACCGACTCACGATAGTTGATGCCCTCATCATTGGATGGGACTCCAGCCATCAACCTACAAACTACTGGATTTGTCAGAACCTTGAGACTGTTTTCGGATTAATTTTTGGTCTTTTGATTTATGTTCATCTTAATATTTTCATGACTAGGCATTATATCTAACCAATTCTGTTTTTAGTAGCATCCTATTTACAAGGTTTTGTACCTATGTCGATCCAAATGTCATCAATCGATGCATCTTTAAACTCGATAATAAATGATTGACACATTCGAAACCTCGTTAACGAAATAAAAATGTCGATCGGTACCCTTATTTTCGATTTACCAGTGCGAAAGAATCATATTATTCGATATACTGAAAAAAAAACTATTTAAAAAATTGCCAATAGCCAAATTCTTCACTGAAACCTACGTAAAGGAACATATTCTGCCAACCTATCTATACCATTTTTCATACATTACTTTTTATACTAACTAAGAAACAAAAAATTTCCTGTTTTATGCAACGGCAAGCGATATTTTATATGGAAATTTTTTCGATTGTTGGTAAGTGCGTGACTGATAGAACAAACAGATGTTACAGACTCATTTTACCCAACGAAGATTTCTGGCAACATTTTGGCCTTGTCCGTAGTTTTCGTATATTGGTGTTGTGGAAGGTGAGATACTTTTGTCCTTTTTATCAAATAAAAGTAGTCTAGGCACATTATTTTGAGGATTTATTTTGTTAAAATATTATAAATAATCTTTTATTTTTATCAGTTAGAATAATTTCTGTGCAGTAACGTGCTGTACTAATGCAATATTTATTTGTGATGCCAGTTTCGCGTTATTCTTGCTGTATGTGGTGGATAATAATTAGGTATGCTGCTTGACAAAGGGTTTGTTTCCCGTCGTACATTATGCATTTTGTGGTTTGGAATTGTAAATTCAAATGTTTTATTTTAAAAGACTAAGGACTTGCTCCCAGACTCCCAATTATGAATACCTATTTCAAGTTGGAAACTGCCAAGAAATTGCAAGAATTTATGGGAGTGCGTTGCTTGCTGACACAAATGACATCCTAGGCCAGTGGTTCCCAAACTTTTTCAGGCTGGCGCCCCCTTTGGCTCCCCAGTGAATTTCTAGCGCCCCCCACAGACATAGGCCACGCCACTTTCTTGAAAGTTAGTACGCTGCAATTTTAAAAGATATATGTTAAACACAAATGTGTATTTCACAAATAGAACCCCATTTAGTGAACCAATATGTTTTTCAGCTGTTTTAACTGTTTCACCACTAGAAGCCAACCAAAGATGTTGCAGGCAAATTTATGGCCGGACTCGTGGCCGGTCTTACAACCAATCTCCAAATTCAATTAGCAAGTAATATCTCCCAAACTAATGGACGCAGCTCTTAAGAAAACTTGGAAGTTTGGAACATGTATTCATCAGAACCTAACAGTGATGTTTAGCTTGTAAATTTTTTTAAATTTCGCCTTCATTCGTGAATTGGGGTAAACGCGGTATATACCGATATCGTAGGTAATTCCGTCACCTCTCCAGCTTTTCCTTTATATTAAGCTTTGTTTTAGTTCCATGCGTTTGTTGATGGTTGAAACTTGAAATGGTGACGTCATGCATTTGCGAGTCAAAATACTGCCAAAACACTAGGTCTTGGCCATCTAGTGGGAAAATATGGATTTGGTAGGTTTCCATTCTAAAGGCTTTTTAATAAATATGGCAACATTTTGTGACGTTTCATCGTTGCTGACGCGTAGTGAAGTGTTTTGAGTCATGTGAAGGCAACAGAACTTACGTAACGCATACGTTTTTTTTCTAGTTTTTCATTTCTCGATGCGTCCTTAATGTGTCGGAATATACCGCGTTTACCCACGATGATGACGATGATGGACGAACGCGATGATGATGATGAAGACGATGATGCCTGCGCATATATTGCAAAACAGGCCGAAATTAGCATTGATCAAAGAATTTCTTCCAAACTATTGAACTGATTTGATTTTGAACAAAATTACATTCCCAATATTCCATTCCATTGATGACTAGGCCTACTAAGCGGTGATTTTTTAGCTTATAAATTTTTCTTATTTTACCTTCGTTTGGGAGCTTTTCTTTCATTTCACCATCATTCTTCAAAATTCACCATCACGGTGTCACTGCCCGGCGCCCTTATTGCCGGGTAATTTGTCACTTAATTCGCGGTGATCAAGAAATTTCTTCTAAACTACAGAACAGATTTCAATGAAACTTTGTATATAAATACATAACCACTCGATGGTGATGTTTAGCTTGTGACAATTTTTCTATTTTGATTTTGTTTGTGAGTTACTATGCAGATAAAGTAGGAACGACCGACTCTTCTACCGGCCGGTTTAACCAAAATCCTTATACATACAGCCGTATAACTTGCAAATGAAGGCAAAAAGAACAAATTGTAAACCTCACCATTGCTGAGGTTAGGTATTTGAATACAAAGTTTTGTTCAAATCTGTTCAGTAGTTTCTTGATTACAGATTATTTCTCAAAGTTTCTTGATTACTGCGAATTTAAGCACGGATTGCTGATTTAATCACAAATGAAGGTGAACTTCAAAAAAAAACTTGTGAGCAAAGGCACAATCGAAAAATTTTTCACGAGCTAAACATTACCGCTTGCCCTTAGTAGTTAGGACTGTAAATTCAAAATTTTGTTCAAATCTGTTTGGTAGTTTGGAATAAATTACTTGATCACTGTGAATTTTGGCCCGTATTGCCATATAACTATGGCAAAAACAACGATGACAAAATTCAAACAATTTTCACAAGCAAAACATTATTTTAGGTCCTAATGAATACGTGTACCAAGTTTCATCGAGTTGAGTTCATTAGTTTGAGAGATATTCCTTGATCATTGAATTTGGAAATAGGCCATGAGACCGGCCACAAGTTTGGCTGTTAATTTGTCTGAGACATAAACCCAGCCTCCCAGGAGAGGTTAAAAAACAGATCTGGGTGAAAAAACCATCGCTTGCAGTCATGTGCTGCATGTGTTGTGTACAAATCATCAAACTAACGTTCGAACTTCTGACATTGACTTCTGACTACCTCTCCACTATCGCCCCCCTACCGCCCTTTTCTTCCTTATCACCCCCCAAAATCTTTCCACTGCCCCTAGGGGGGTGATATTGTCCACTTTGGGAACCACTGTCCTAGGCCTACCTAGGTAGCTAGCTGGGACCTGACTGACTTGGAGACTAAATTGACTATGCCTCACACTTTTGATCATGAGTGTTATCATGATATGTGATATTTTACAAGCCATTAGGTTGTTCAGTAAGGCAGATGATAGTGGCTAACCTATTAATATTCTTCAATTCTCACTTCTTAATGTTGAGTCTTTGAAGAATAAAAATTTTCAATAACGAACAAATTTATTATCCTTTGAAAAGTGAGGAAACCTAAAAATGTTATATACCTATACTTATTTGGATTTTGAAAACTAGTTAGCCTAAGTATGATAAATTTTTAATCTTCAGTGAAGACTTGAAGTTTAGAAAGCGAGTAGGGCTTAGACCAAAATTTTCCAATCCTGCTGAGTGCAGTGCATCTCGTAGACCCAAGAGACTGGTATATTGGGCAAAGTTTTCTGAGAAGCATGGTTTAGATTGTTGATTTTGTAGGGTGAATGCACCATATTCTGACACTGTGGGTAATTTTGACACCCCTCAACTTTTTCCTTTACCTATAGGGTAAATGTGGTATATTCTGACACTTTGAGCCCGTTTCCAACACGATTACTGAGTGTTGGAAAGGCGAACTCCAGCCTCAAACATGCAGAAGACAATTAGAAATAAGGACATAGCAAAAAAATGAATGGCTATAAAAAATACACCGTACGCGCAACCCAAGTTCTGGTTACTTTACGTTACTCTAAAACACCGCACTACGTGCCAGCAACGATGAAACTTCACAAAATGTTGCCATATTTATTTAAAAGCCTTTAGAATGCAAACCTAATCAATCCATATATTCTGACACTGTGATTTGTGAGACTAATTCTGGCTGCGCTTCAAACTCTACTAATTTGTAATGCCAACACTCTTGTGTTCGAATTCCGATTGCTGTGTGAGCTGTATTGGAATATGACACAGCTAGGAATTAGAACAGTATTGAATATTGAACACTACTTAATTAGGCTTTTAATTAAGAGCTATTGAGCTTTTAATTAAGAAAATTATAATTTTTGCACACAGCTTGGAAGAGCTGTGTGTGTCTAATTTCAAGCTGTGTCAGAATTAGTTTTTGTGTCTAAAACCGTCTCTTAACTTGATCATCAATTAATTTTTTTATCACTTGGAATCAGCAAATACAAGTATACTTAAGGGATTCCTTATATATTCAGATGTATTTAAGTCTCAAACCATAATATTCTTTCTACACAAACAGTTTATCACTATTTGGTAGAGCAAGGTCAACTATCAACTTTGACACATTTTTTTGATGTTCTCACTGGGTGACGTGCACTCTCTCTTTGGATCTCAACATTTTCCTGCCAGATGGCCCAGACCTAGTGTTTTGGCAATAGTATGGCGCGCAAAAGTATGACGTCACTTTCAACCATCAATGAATGCATGGAACTAAGAAAAAGCTTAATATAAAGAAAAAAAGTCAAGAAGTGTCGGAATTACCCACGATGTTGGAATGTACCGCATTTACCCTATTAGGAATCCTTTGAGTATACTTGTATTTGCTGATACTTGTATTACCATTTACCATTACTGATACTTGTTGTAAGTGGTAAATAAATTAATAGATGATTGATTTAATAGACAGTTTTAGACACATGAAAACTAATTCTGACACAGGGTGTCCGAATCACGATTTTTGAAGCAGTCGGAATTAGTCTAAAAAGATGCATATAGTCACACAATGTCGGAATACAGCGATTTTGTAAATTAGAATTTTAAAGGCTTTTAAATAAATATGGCACATAGGTGCGACACTTTTTTTACAGGGTGCATACTGGTCATAGAAAACCTGGAAAGTCATGGAATTTGATTTTTCATTTTCCAGGCCTGGAAAGTCATGGGATTTCATTTCAGGTTTTGGAAAGTCATGGAATTTGCAAATAAATGAAGAAGAAAGGAAGTGTTTTTGTTTTTCTGTGCTGCGTGTGTTAACCCATTAATGCCAAGTGGTTCCAGAGAAAAATGGATGCATCATAAAATTGTCAAATCAAATAAATCTACAAGTGGATGTGTAGGTTTCATACACATCTTGTACATGTTCTGGCAAAGTTTGGTTCTGCTGCACTGACTACTTTTTTTTAAATACCGGTATGCACCCTGTTTTTAGAATGTTTATTTTTAATTTCCTCGTTTACTTGAAATTTCAATTAATTTTTTATGTATGATAATGCTGGTATCCACGATATTTTACTGGTCTACTTAGAGGACTCAAAAATGAACTTAAGCCAGTCCAAGAGATACTCTAGTTTGCCACTGTGCATGAATTGAACTAAAACGCCTGTAAATCTGGCCAATTTCACCCATTCCCATGGCTTTTTTTCAATTTCTTCGGTGAAAATAAGATAAATGGCCTATTTTCACCTCCAATTTGGAAATGATAGTATTTAACCCTGATTTAAGAATTTCTGGCCAATATTCCAAGTAGGCACTCTGGCATAAAACTTGATAGAAGTGAATAAAGTATTTGCCTGACTTGATATGATACTAAATAAAACTTGCTAGCTGGATGATTACTGTTATATAGTACATAGTGGCCTGTGGCAAATGGGTTTTTTGTTGAGCTCTTGGATCCTTCCCCAAGACTAATTAAGTCACTTTGAATAAAATATTTAGGCTTCTGAATTGCTTGGAAAACTATGGCATGCTAATAGGCCTTTCCAAGGGTATTGAATTTCCAGCTTTCTCTATTACACTCCCACTGAATGTCAAGCAAGTCTTAGAGGGAATGTATATACAACCCTTGGCAAAAATTGATGAAATCACCGGCCTTGGAGGATGTTCATTCAGTTGTTCGATTTTGTAGAAAAAAAGCAGATCACAGACATGACACAAAACTAAAGTCATTTCAAATGGCAACTTTCTGGCTTTAAGAAACACTATAAGAAATCAAGAAAAAAAATTGTGCAGTCAGTTACAGTTATTTTTTTAGACCAAGCAGAGGGAAAAAAATATGGAATCCTCAATTCTGAGGGAAACCTAATGAGTGACAAACAGTACTCTTCATCAATCTGCCACCAACTTTCTCTGATTGCTGTTGCCAGATCAGCTTTGCAGGATGGAACCTTGGCATGGACCATTTTCTTCAACTTCACAAAAGATTTTCTAGTGGATTGAGATCCAGACGATTTGCATGCCATGACATTGACCTTATGTGTCTTTTTTCAAGGAATGTTTTCAGTTTTTGCTCTATGACAAGATGCATTATCATCTTGTAAAATGATTTCATCATCCCCAAGCATCTTTTTAATTTATGGGATAAGAAAAGTGTCCAAATTATCAATGTAAACTTGTGCATTTATTGAAGATGTAATGTAATGACAGCCATCTTCCCAGTGCCTTTACCTGACATGCAGCCCCATATAATCAATGACTGTGGAAAGTTGCATGTTCTCTTAAGGCAGTCATATCTATAAATCTCATTGAAACAGCACCAAATGAAAGTTCCAGCATCATCACCTTGCCCAATGCAGATTCAAGATTCATCACTGAATATGACTTTCATCCAGTCATCCACAGTTCATGATTGCTTTTCCTTAGCCCATTGTAACCTTGTTTTTTTCTGTTTTTGTGTTAATGATGGCATTCGTTTAGCTTTTCTGTTTGTAAATCATATTTCTGTTAGGCAGTTTCTTACAGTTTGGTCACAGACATTATTAACTCCAGTTTCCTCCCATTTGTTCCTCATTTATTTTGTTGTGCATTTTCGGTTTTTGAGACATACAGTGGGGGGAAATAAATATTCGTACACTTGAAAAATCGTATTTTAATGTATGTAAGTACACAAACTTAACAGGAAAAGTGATTTAAATTATGTTGCAGAAATCTTCCTAGGAGCACCTGATCGTCTTTGGTTTTCAACGCTGTCACGGGTCTTGAAGCGTCCAATGAACGAAGCAACTGTACTAAAAGGAACATTCAAGTGGCTAGCAATCTTCCTATAACTTTCTCCTTCCTCCCAACGCGATAGAATTAGTTGTTTGTGTGGCGGTATTCGAAGATTCAAATTAAGAAAAGGTCCCCAACAAACATTGAGAATCTTAAGGTGGTGTGCCAAGAAGAATGGTATAAAATACCAGTCAGCATCTGCAAATCATTGGTCGAGACATATAGAAATAGACTGGTGTCTGTTGAGCTGAATAAAGGGTATTCAACCAAGTATTAAATTAAAATAATGCGGATTTATTGTTTTGTACGAATACTTTTTTCACCCCGAAAAGTGAACATGTTGCATTGTTTTTTGTTGCATTGAGATTTAATTTCTTTTGATAGTATTTTTGAATACTATGCGTCTCTATACATAATTTAAATCACTTTTACTGTTAAGTTTGTGTACTTACATACATTAAAATACGATTTTTCAAGTGTACGAATATTTATTTCCCCCCACTTTATTGCTTTAGGTTTTCTGTCTTGATGCTTTGATGTCTTCCTTGGTCTACCAGTATGTTTGCCTTTAACAACCTTCCCATATTGTTTGTATTTGGTCCAGATTTTAGACACAGCTGACTGTGAACGATATTTTTTGCAACATTGCGTGATGATTTACCCTCTTTTAAGAGTTTGAAAATCCTCTCCTTTGTTTCAATTGAAATCTCTTGTTTTGGAGCCATGATTCATGTCAGTCCACTTGGTGCAGCAGCTCTCCAAGGTGTGATCACTCCTTTGTAGATGCAGACTAACGAGCTGTTCTAATTTGATGCAGGTGTTAGTTTTGGGGATGAAAATTTACAGGGTGATTCCATAATTTTTTCCTCAGAATTGAGTGATTCCATATTTTTTTTCCGTCCGCTTGGTCTAAAAAAATAACCATTACTGACCACAATTTTTTTTTTCTAGATTTCTTATAGTGTTTCTTAAAGCCAGAAAGTTGCCATTTGAAATTTCTTGTAATTTTGTGTCATGTCTGTGATCTCCTTTTTTTCTACTAAGTTAAACAACTGAATGATTGCCATGATTTTTGCCAAGGGTTGTATTGCTTCAGTTATCTCCTTTCAATGTGTGTGCCTGTTCATTTATAATTTCCTCCTTTCAAATCACATCCTGTCAGGCACTTGCCTGATAATCAATGAAGATTAGGCAAAATTGTTCATTATCACATGCAATACATGGAGACTGCCTGTAGAGATAATTAGTTAGAATTTCCTAGTATACCTATTCTGTGTGTAGATAGGGTTACAACCTGAATGTAGTTGAATATCCTTAATAATCCCAAATAATTGTCCAATTTTCTTGAAGTGTGAAGAAGTAGATCAATTTTAGTAAATTTTTCTCTATGGATTCATTTCAGTCAAGGAATTCAGTTATTATTATACAACAGGAAGCTGTAGGAACTTATTATACAACAGTTATTTTATTGGGGGTGAAAAATATAAAATTTAATTTCTCCATTATTCAGGTTATATATACTTGTTATCAATTTAATGCAAGAGGATCTAACTGACCTTCAAAAAAATGAGTTATGAAAAATTAAGGCATAAAAAACTTCAAAATATTAATTTTTGCTAATTAGCTAGTATGGAATCAAAATATCCATATATGTAGCTATGTAAGTTAATCCAACTGATCAATATATCAATTTATTTTTAACTTGTGTAATATGAACTAATGGGTGCTTTGTATTGTTGCAGAAAGGCATCATGGGGCGGAGACCTGCAAGATGGTGAGTTTAACACTGATCTTGGTGTGCTGCTGGTTTGAGGCTCTTTTAATTAAATCTTTAATGTTTTGTTGTGTAAAATATGATTAAATTTAATGTATGATATTTGATATGACATTATCAATCAAGATGCTTTAGTTTATTGAAAATAGATTTTCTATCAAATTGAAGTACACTCTTCACAATCTGGTTTTAAACTCTGAAATAATTGAGATTCTTATGAACAGGCTAATGCTTTTGATTGTCATATGAAGTTAACTTGTCTTTTATTCAAGTTTCTTATTCCCATTCTTATTGTCTTTCAGCTATCGCTACTGCAAGAACAAGCCGTACCCCAAAAGTCGGTTCTGTCGTGGTGTGCCTGACCCCAAAATTAGGATTTTTGACTTGGGCCGCAAGAAAGCTGACGTCACTGAGTTCCCGCTCTGTGTCCATCTTGTGTCGGATGAATATGAACAGCTGAGCTCAGAAGCTCTTGAGGCTGCTCGTATCTGTGCCAACAAGGTAATTTTTTTTTGTTGATGTAGATACATTTTGAACATTTCTATTTGTTCTTGAAATTTGGGTGCTATTTCATATTTTACTTTTTAAGAACTTTGCTAATGATAACTAGTAAAATTTCTCTTTAAAATAGAGTTCTGAGTGGCTGCAGGCAAACTTTTAACTTTGAATGTCATTTCAGTATTTGGTGAAGTACACCGGCAAAGATCAGTTCCACATCAGGATTAGAGTCCACCCCTTCCACGTGATCCGCATCAACAAGATGTTATCGTGCGCTGGGGCTGATAGGTGAGTACTTGTCTCTGTAGTGCTGCATTTCTATTTTATTTTTGATACTGTGATTTTAGTGTCAAAATTCGATGGTAACAAAAATCTATCCCAAGAATTTTTCGATTTTTAACCTAATTATAGAACAATTAGTTCCGAAGCCGAACTAATTAAAATAAAGTTGTTTTGATTTTACGAGACGAGTGATGTTGCAGGCTCCAGACTGGAATGAGAGGCGCTTTTGGCAAGCCGCAGGGCACAGTTGCTCGTGTCAACATCGGACAGCCCATCATCAGCGTGCGCTCCTACGATAAACATAAGGCTCATGTTGTCGAGGCTCTCAGGAGGGCCAAGTTCAAGTTCCCCGGCCGTCAAAAGGTGAACAAATCAATTCCTTAATTAAACGTGCGTAAAAGTTGCCGTGATATATGAAGTGTTTTTTCGAGATTAAACGTGTCTTTTACGGTAATATGCTGTCATATCAAAGTCTTAAATGAGATTGAAATCACGCTGTATTTGCGTTTGTAATTAAGTGTGATTCCAAAATTTGCCAGGCAACGTTATTTTAATTTGAGCAGTTGGCTGTTACCAAATATGCTTCTGATTTGCAGGTATTTTCTCCATTTTAGCACCAATTGCCGGCAATGTTGTCGATTTTGATTCAACCCAAGATTGGCTACTTGTATGCCAAATGCAATAGATTATAAAGAGGGAAATCTTGAATATTTATTGTTGATGTAAATTTTGCAGATTTTCGTTTCTGGGAAGTGGGGCTTCACGAAGTACGAACGCCCCGACTACGAGAAGATGCTAGCGTCAGGCCATATCAAGTCTGATGGTGTCAATGTCAAGTATATCCCTGAGCACGGTCCACTAATTAAGTGGAAGCGTACGCAGCTCCAGCTTGCTGGCATGGCCTAATGTGCATCCGCGGAAATTTCTGAATAAAGATCACCCGCGCCGTAATGTGTTATCCTTGTGTTCCGTAGTTGTAATCAATTTTTTTTTCTACCAAACGAAACTTGTTTATAGTTTTCATGGGAATGAACTATATGCAGCCAAGCATATTAGCTCGTGTAATATTCATGTGCATATGACCAACTTGACTCTAATCCACGACTAATTACGGTTTCTGTGCTGGAGGTAGAATTAATGCGGCGGCAAACGCGCTCGACGAATCTCGAACCCTACTGGTATATAATACTTTAATCCAAAATATGCTTATCACGACAGCACGCATATCACGCTCTGGCAATAGCTTGACCTTGACAATAAGATGTTGAAGGTCTTACGGTCCCTGCTCATTGGTCAATAGCTTTAATAAGCGCGTGGTGTTGCAAAAGACTGCTTTGTTTGTTGGATTTTTTTTCGGGTACACTGCTTGGCCGTCCTGTCAGAAACTGTCACCTGCTCGCGAAGCTGTTTATCGAGGGTGTGTCGACCGACGAAGGCAGAATATTCCAAGAGTTGATAATTCGTTACGAAAGACGTACGTATCGATAAGGTTACCTCGTACCGGCCTGTGCTGAAGGCAGAGGAGGTGCAGTGCTGTTAGGCTTGGGTCGCCTACCAAAGACCACCACTGCCCTGGATATAATGGACCATCATGATTCCTGCCTTCCGGAACGTAGCCTTCAACACTGCAAGCCGTCCGTATCTAGGCCGTGGGTCGAACCAGCCCTCGGTCGAAGGACGATATATTTTGGAACAGAACTATGCTATATGAAACCTAACCTCAGATGCGGTGAACGTAAAATTACGTAATTTAACGATGCCCGAAAGTCGTATTCGATCCGGGGCCTGATGGTGCACGGCAGGTGGTGGTCAAGACCGGAAGAGGACAAAGCCGAGTAGTGCACGGCTGATTGGTGGATATCCGGAGAGATCCAAGGCGTTCGATTCAGGGCTTATTGGTGCACAAAATTTGTGTTGCACGGCTGCGCTCCCTTAGGCTTTAGAAGTATGGCAAGATGGTGAGGAGTTTGGTGGCTCGTCTCTGAACGCCTTCAATGTCAGCACGTTGTGAAGCCGTTACCAGGCTGAATGTCCGTATTCGAGTGCGGGCTTCATAAGAACTGCACAGGTGAACAAGCAGATTTGCGTCGAGAAAGTCAAAACCGCGCCGTATCACCCCTACTACCTAGTTTGCCCTAATCGTCGACTTTGACACCTGATCGTCAAACTTTAAGTTGCTACCTAGCAAGACCCCTAGAAGTAGAACCTTTTCGACTTCGTTCTCCGTAAGCTGTACCGTGTACGACTTTCCATTGTATTCTGCTTCTGATTTCTTATTGCCTAATTTCAGAACGTGACATTTTCCGGGATGAAATCTGAGTAACGATTTAACATAACATAGTGATGTCGGCGCTAAAGAGTAGATCTGATGTGGCCTGTTGCCGATTCTTGTACTTTTCGTGACTTGTTCACAGAAGATCTAAAATGGTGTCATAGTTTGCAATAGCTACTAGACATCCACCGGGTTCGATATGGTGCTAGGCAATTCACGCGTTCATACTCAGCAGAGCGCCAACGATGTAATCAGGTAGGTCGGTGATTCGAAGCGAGAAGAAATGTTATTGTGTGGACAAGTTGCAGCGCAGTTATTTAGTTTATAGCCGTGACCCCTGTTGTTGGTTCTTGTTTCAAATTCTAGTAGTCCTTCGGGACCTTGTATAAATCATGAGTATACTTGTATACTACAATGAGGTCCCCACGCAGACGTCGATAACTGAGGCTTGAAAGCTTCATAATCTTTCTTCATAAGACTTGCCCTTCATGCTTGGGATTATCCTCGTAGCACGTCTTTGAACATTCTCTTATAAATTTTTGTCCTTTTAAAATCTGGGTGGCCACACAACGTTTCCAAACTTTAGATTCAGGCGCACGACAGCAACAAACACTTCTTTATCGCTTCTGCATCTAGGAATTTGTAAGAGTGTCTGATTAGACCAAGAAGTTTGTTAGATGTATTAGCTTTCGTTTCAACATGCTTAGAAAATTTCAGCTCTTTGTCGACATAAACTCCGGGATCTTTTTCCACACTAGACTTTTCAATCCTGACTCTCGTAATCATGTCTTCTCATACTGTAATCTTGCTGCTGTTCATTGTTCTTCCCAACTCCCAAGGTGAAGTACTTAACACCTGTCGGCATTAAACCGCAGCTGCCACGAATTGTCTTGACCACTCCTGCATTTTGTGAATAAAGTTCTGCAGCGTTTGAACAGCATCTCCTCTAAATTTGGGCATACACCTTCGTGTCATCGGCGAAGAGTTTGGTCGTATTTGTGCATTAGTTCGTCAGATCATTGATAAAAACGATTAAATGTACACCTTGTAAAAACGGTTAAATTTGAAAATTTTACATAAAAAATATCGGACTATATTAGGTTTAGGGTTAAGAAAAATCTATAAAGGAGCAGTCATTTATTGCTGCTACTTAAAAGACCAATTATTTTTCTACTTAAATTACAATGTTTAAGGTAGTGATTCGAGCGCAGTGAAACATGGCTTTCGTCTCAGTTGTGGATGTGGTCTAAACTAAATGAATCTACTCTTTATAAATTGCAACCTTGATTGAAACAAATCATTATAACTTATAAGAATAGGCACATGAATCAAACCTAATTAATCCATGTCATATTCTAAATTAGATTAAACTTATCGAAATGCTCATATCAAGGAATAGATTTGTATTTCAAATATTTCACTTTTAGTTAAATTTAAAATATTTTTATTAAGTCTGTACCAGAGACTCACTATATGAGCGATCGATTTCGAGCCTTTTACCGTCCACAACCGAGCGATAGTGGACTCATCAAAGACTCACTCTATTTATATATAAATTGAGGGAGTCAGTACGCTATTTCGTTTCAATTAGCATGAAAATTTGGAAGTCTGAATACGTTTTCAAGTAAGTTTTTTTTTATGTAGACCTCGTGACTTGTGATTCCTTAAAAAGGCTGAAATTGTTCATTATCACTCCTCGGAAAATATTTACCCAGTCCCAGGTACTTCCTGATCCTGGTTAGAATTTGTGCTTTGGAAAATATTTCGCAATAGTGCACAGAGTCGCTGTCAGCTGTGTAGAAAGTTTTATTGTTTAGCTTATGACAAGTTTAATCATTATGCTTGGTGCAAATTGAAATTCCAGATCCAAGAACTATTATTGCAGTCTTGCAGGAATGCTTGGAATTTGGAATGGTAGGGTAAACGCGGTATATTCCGACATCGTAGGTAATTCCGTCACCTCTCCAGCTTTTCCTTTATATTAAGCTTTGTTTTAGTTCCATGAGTTCATTGATGGTTGAAATGGTGACGTCATACATTTGCGTGTTGAAATACTGCAAAAACACTAGGTCTTGGCCATCTAGTGGGAAAATATTGAGATCCAAAGAGAGACAATGCATGCCACGTGGTGAGANCTGACGTCCCACTAATTATACAAAAAAAGATCAGTAGTGGAACAGTGAAAATATTGATATATTTCCCCACATGTAGCGTGGGGAACATTGCGAGCGTTATAAGCACTGTTAGAAAATGGAAACAGCACAACAAATTGTCAGAGACAATAAAGGTATATATAATAGTAAGATTACGAAGAGGCACGGTTATATTGGCAGATATCTTCACTGCCTGAAATTCTCTACTTATCTAACGATGGTTATGAGATATTGGATTGCTACGGTATCATTATGACAAGCAGGGGCTGTCTCTTATACACATCTAGATGTGTATAAGAGACAGGTGTAGTGAAGTGTTTTGAGAGTCATGTGAAGGCAACAGAACTTACGTAACGCATACGGTTTTTTTTATAGTTTTTCATTTCTCGATGCGTCCTTAATGTGTCGGAATATACCGCGTTTACCCTACCTATTGTTTTTTTAAGTTAAATTTTAAGGAATCATGGCTCCAAAACAAGAGATTTCAATTGAAACAAAGGAAAGGATTATCAAACTCTTAAAAGAGAGTAAATCATCACGCAATGTTGCAAAAGATATCGGTTGTTCAGTCAGCTGTGTCTAAAATCTGGACCAAATGCAAACAATATGGGAAGGTTGTTAAAGGTAAACGTTAAAGCTGAGAGTAACAAAATGGATAGTAAATGATATGGGAACTAGCCGCAACAAGATGCCACAGAGACTAGGGGTTCTAGCTCTAGTACACTGCCAACTGCCAAGAATCACAAAATGGACAGCAAACAGTACGAGAACTAACTGCTGTTCTCGCTGTGTGGTTTAATAAACCGCACCAATATGCCAAGTGCCAACAACCAGCCGCAGAGACTAGGGGTTCTAGCCCTAATGCACTGCAAACTGAGTGCAAAGAATCAAAGATGCACAGCAAATGGTACAGGAACTAACCTCACCAAGATGCCAACAATCAACTGCAGAGACTAGGGGTTCTAGCCAGGATGGAATTCTAATATTGACGGTTCATATATTATTCCCGATACACCTACACCAGTTTTTCGATACATTATTTGAGGCAAAAAGATGAACTTCTTATAGGCTTAAAACACGTATGGGTATGCTAATTGGTAAGTTTCTATAAGGTAATTCACTGGAAATGTTGCGTGCCAGCAAGGCTGCAGGCGCAGCTTTCACTCAACAATTAAAATTATACAAAGTATTAGTTCGTTAAAGATTTGTCTCTTAATATGACTACAAAGAAGTAAACTTGATAAAGTAATTACAGCTACCGTGACTACGCTGTCAAGCAGACTTTTTGATGATGCATACACTAAACACGCAATTCATGGGAGCGAGAGTGCGAGACTACATAGAACAACAAAACAAGGCGCCCGGCATGCAATTGCAAAAACAAATGACGATCGCGGCAGTGGTGGCACGAATCATAATGTTAATATAGTCAATGCAAGAGAATGATTAATTATGATATTTCTGATAGAGATTTGAAATATTTTCGGAAGCCTAAAACTATAACAAATTATTTCGTTACTTTGACATGGTTGATTTCAAAATAAATATTTTAATGCAAATTCATGAAAAACATTTAAAATAAATTGAATAATGTTTGAAATTATTTGAACATGGTTTGACTTATGGGAGCTGGGGTGGGAGAGGGAAAAATGTAGAAAAATGGAATGAAGCACATAAAAGAAAAACAATGGGGAAAATTGAAAGTCAGGGCTCTAGAGCCACTAGATAATTTTGTTATGTATTGAATGAAATGTGTCTTGATAATGTAGCATGATTTACAAAAGTTAAAAATTTATACATTTTCAAATTAGCCCCTTTTTTCTGCCATTTTCTATCAATTTCACATTTTCTTTCATTGATTTAAAAAAATCATATGAGCAAATTGTTTTTTATTTGTTCTTTTACGTATGTGTGTGAAATTTCAGAGAGACTGGATGATAAAGTTTTCCCATCCTCTTAAATCAAACCTCAGATAATTTACTCTCGGCTTTATTTCCTTTCTAATTATTTTTAGGTAAGAAATATTTTTAGGTTAAATTTTTGTTTGAGGTCATTGATTATTATTTATTTATGTAAGTTATATTCTTCTATTTAGGTCTGATGCTCCATTTTCTCAAGTGTATATATAGGTATTCATGTAGCTTCATTAAGTGAATAAATTTTTGTGATTAGATATAAAATGATTTTTTTGGACAGTGTTTGTAAGAAGAAAAGTTGCTGTCAACATGAAAAGCTTTACATTACATTCAACTAGAAATAATGACCTTATTTGTAGACCCTTAATGTAATATTTTTGGCTAGTGCCTTTCAACCTTTTTTTTCTAAGTAGCCTACTAATGATTTATCTTTTATCTATGTTTTATCATGCCACTTAACATGTATCAGTGATTGACCTAATTAATTATTTGAAATATTTCATTTTAGTCACCCATGGGAGACAGTGTCTGAGGCTGTATGGCGGAAGTACCCAAATCCTCACAAGCCCGAAATAATGGGGACAGACATTCTTGACAGACAAATTGATTCTGGAGTTCTTCGTTCACAGCGTCTCATTGCATCTCGCTTTGGTCTGCCAGTTTGGTCCAGAAAGGTAAGCCCCTATATTTCTGGATTCCAGATCTTTTTATTTTTACTTTAATTACTCTCATTTGGAAGCTGAGCCTCAACAATCAAGCTGTAATAAACAATTCTTTGAAAATGACAAAAATTCAGAGGTTGCATAACAAAATAACCTCTTAGAAAACATTCAAAATCTTTAGGTAATATTCCACAAACTGTAGAATCTATCAAACAGTTAAAAAATACAACTCAGGACTCACTGCAGTGAGTGACAGAGAGTGCATTTTATTGTTGACAAAAATGTGAAGTCACGGACAGACAGACAGATGGACAGACAGACATGGCGAGCACAATAGTGCATTTATTCCATGAATGAGAAAATACGCTAAAAATACTTTATATTTCGTTATTATAACTGCTAAACTAACATTTGATAACTAAGTTACTTTAATTTTCACTGCTCATCAACTAATAATTCAATCCTGTTCATGTCTAGACAATCTGTATTTTGTCCCTTGTAATTTGTGAATTGACTTCTTTATAAATTGATGATGAATTTTGTTCTTTTACTTATTATTTTATCATTAAAATTGCATCTAAATTTAATACAATTTCCACCTGAATTATTGATTACTGTTTATGCTTTTACAATGTTTCAGCTACTTATGTTGACATTGTTTGCCCAAGTACCGGTACCTGTTATTTATTATTATTCCTGGCTGCACTCAGGAAGGATCACAAGCACATGAAAAGCCAAAGAACATAGAAAATAAAGCAGTTTTTTGGTCACAACGTTGCACTAATTACTACCTATTACTGCAAGCCAACTTCCTGTGTCTCTTTCCAGCTTGCGCTCAGAATCTGTATTGACGGACCTAAACCTATTCTTCATAACTGCTCATACTGAATAAAAACGCTAGTGATATCCATGTAGATTTCACTAAATGCTAATAAAGGCATCAAATGTATTATTGGATTCAGCTATTGATACAACAGATCAAAAATGAGGATCATTCACTGAAGCATTGAGATGTGAAACCTGGCCAATAAAAGTACATTCTTATGAAATGAACAGGAACTTGAATATTACTTTTTTTTCATGAAGACTTTAATTGGTTTTCTATTACAACATTCTTGCTTAGTTTGGTTCTATTTATAGTACCTAAAAGGAAAAACTGCTTGTTTCCTATTTGCTAATGAGTTAGGTATTTTTTTAGATTAGGTTCACCGTTCACCCAAATTTGTTGTCTTCTAAATCAAGTTTGAGCTTTGTTTTGTAGATCTTGGGCACTGAGGACATATGCTATGGCTTCGAAACATCAGAAGTAAACCCTGGGAAGCAGATGATGTCCTGTACTACTAAAAATGTGAGTGCTCTTATCTACTATTTCTGAGTGCTTATATATACTTCTTATATCATGTACTTCAGATATGCTCTATTGAGTTTTTCTATGAGATTTATTTTACTGAAATTTTTAAATTTGTAATTGTAGATCCTATTTTTGATGACCAATAGCTTAAGCAATTGGATAATAATTCATAATTTTTGTATCATTCAGTTGACATTCACTAATAATTCATACTTTTTGTATTTAATAATACATACTTTTTTGTATCATTCAGTTGACATTTAGCCACACGGTGACGATGTTGGAGCGCATGGTATACAGAGCTGCCCCTCCAGCCCCTGGCAGCACCCAGCCCCGCACTGTGATGGAGCAAGAGTTCACCGTGACAGTGCATGGCATCCCACTTGCCAGCTACCTCGAGGACACCATACTTGGCAGCTTGGCTAGAAACGCATTCAAGGTAGACTATTATGCATTGAGGATATTGTGTGTGATATCAAACAGTAAGCTAATAGCTCTGCATGTAATTTTATTACATTTTTGAACTCCCTCAACTACTGTCCTTGATGACATGCATGTAATGATTCTGCGCAACCTCGGAGACACACTGCTGGTGGTGCTTGGTTAAACTAGCTATTCAATTTGTCTGCAGGGTCGTGAAGCAATGGAATGGACAATAGATAACATCAAGAAGGGTTGGCCCAGCTCTGCTTCAACGACTCAAGAAACTTCCTGTAGTGAGATCAATGCCAGCAAAGTATTCAACTTGGCCATGGTAGATGAAATGTCAGACATAGCCAAGAAATCTGTGGATGAATTCAGCGAGTTGGCAATCAAATCTGTGGATGAGCTCAGTGGCAAAGCTCTCAAATCTGTGGATGAGCTTAGTGGCAAAGCTCTCAAATCTGTGGACGAGTTCAGTGGCAAAGCTCTCAAATCTGTGGACGAGTTCAGTGGCAAAGCTCTCAAATCTGTGGACGAGTTCAGTGGCAAAGCTCTCAAATCTGTGGATGAGTTCAGTGGTAAAGCGCTGAAGTCAGTGAGGCATGAACGTCATTTTGATGAACTTTTTAATTTATTTTTATGATTTGAAGCCATTACTTAGGTAGGTAATTTGTTATTATTAGATTCAAATTATCTTGATGGCTGATGATTGAGGGAAGTTATGCTTTCAGGTATTAACAGTATTGGCGAATTACCAATTTGATATTCTTCATCTAAACTATTCTAAAGTAACAGTTATTGAAACTGTTTTGGGGGATATACTTGATATGAGGATATACTTAATTTGGGGATATACCAAACTGTATTTGTGGGATATGTTTTGGGGGATATACTGTATTTGGGGGATATTCTTAATTTTTGTGTATAATTTTTTCATTGGTCAGATTATTTCGGAATTCGGTACGATTAGCTTCCAGTAATTGTTGCAATTGAGGTCTAGTTTGTAAAATTATATGCTGAACACTTAAGACTCCTCTCTGGGCGTATACGTGATGTTCGCGACCGTTTCAATGCAATTCATTAAGTTTGTAGTACCGTATATGTGCTGGTCGAAATTGTACTTTGCTGTAAGATATTTCTGTGCTGGCAGTTGTGACTGGTGCTGTTTCTGTGAGATTTTTGAGTTGCCTGACACTCGACGTGCCATTCCTTAAACATGAACCTAAGGTAGTGTGAACTAAGAAAATAAAGGAGCTGGCTCTCCTTGCTAGGTTCATGCCGAGGATAATTTTGAATCGTACAAATTATGTCTACCTAAGAGGAGGCTTACGGCATCAAGCTTGTATTTATTATATTTTTTATAGACATGATTTCCTCCATCAATTAACGTCAACTTCAAGAACTCGATTGTGAAAATCCTTGATTGCTAAACCAATTCAAATACCTTGATAGAATGTGCATATTTTAACTCAATATTTATGAGCACAATGTATATTTTATGTTTAACTATAATGATCTAAATGGTTTTAATGTAAATTCCTTGATATGAACCTGTCACCTTCATGTTTTGTCGTTTCTTCAAAGCATCTTCACTCCACCTGCAAAGACTATACTTGAGTATTGTGCAACTCCTAAAATGGCATCACTAAACTCCCTTTCCAACGCTTCGCCTATTTTGATTGCAAAATTGGGCTAAACCTGAGCTCGTCAGTCTCAGTTCTCGTCCGTGCAATGTAAAGCCAGTGGTTTTTGGTCAGGGTTTAAGTCTTCCAGAAGTGTACCTAAGTTTCCCTGCCCATTGACACACCATCTATCGCTTGTATTTTCCCCACAAAATATTTGTTTAGCATTCCTAAGCTGTAATCTGAACTGCCATATCACTAACACTACAAGTGGGGCGTGCATGACGTAATTTGTTGATAAGAAATGTTCAAGAGGCGTTCAATTGATTGTAAACGGTCAGTTCAACTTGGTCTTACCGTCAAACTTTGAATAGAGTTTTCAGTCTGAAGAGACATTTTCTTTTTAACAATTCGAACTAATTACCTATTCACATTTGATTCATACCTTGACCAGGTCATGTATGTACCAGCATTTAATTTCACATGCATTTGTTGTTAGGGTATATTTAATCCAGTACTATCAAGAAGGTTGTTTTGTTTCTGAAATCGTGGGATAATTTTATTCGTGTACGGAAGTGAGAATCTTATGTGAATAATGTGGCAATTGACGTGTGTCCTAGTGAGGCTATGAATTTGTATCGCTAAGTATGTTCAGCGCTGCAACGCGCACCTCAATTATTTGTACTATAAAACAACTAACCGCTTTACGAATCCGCGCGTATAATAATTACTGGTTATTTCATGGCTTTCAGATTACGTGAATATAGCTAATGTATATATAAATTATGCATCGATATGCAGTTTTAAAACCCATATCGCAGAAAGTCCGAGACTGCTAGAATAGGTGTCCATGACATTGTACGACATCAGGGCGTGGGTTGTAAACTAGCTACCGCGAGTAAAGTAGTTGGCAGTTTAGATGTAACATTCTGCCCACTGTCGACTGGCAGTAATTCGGCGATAAGCAAACGAGCGCAGCATCAGGGCATGAAAAGACTTGTTATTTGTAACAGATATTGCGGAGTCTTTGACATCAATTATTCATAGTGAGAGCTTAAACTAAGAAATGTTCGATCATTTCTTTGATATAGACCTTAAATCGAAAGATTGATAAATGGGTAAGTTCTATCAACAATAAACTCTGTTGCACCTTTTGAACAGATTGATTACATGACGGCAAGGAATGCACCGTTTTTGTTGACACACGAGTATTAATTTAATACCTGCGAAGGTCATTAGTACCAGCAGTTGGAATTAGTTATGAACCTGACGAAAGTGGGAAGTAATAATTCCGTAATGCTACCATGTGCAACCAATGACTTGACTCATGAAGCTATACGGAGCAACGAATGAAACCGTTCACTACAGGCGATGTAAGCTCTTTCCTTCTGGTTTTGCTAATTATTAATTTAATACTGAAGATGCAGCACCACTTGTGTGCATGGAGTTCAGAAGCTTTATAACATTTTCTGAGGCATCGATAAAATTTCTTATACTTAACTGACGTCCCACTAATTATACAAAAAAAGATCAGTAGTGGAACAGTGAAAATATTGATATATTTCCCCACATGTAGCGTGGGGAACATTGCGAGCGTTATAAGCACTGTTAGAAAATGGAAACAGCACAACAAATTGTCAGAGACAATAAAGGTATATATAATAGTAAGATTACGAAGAGGCACGGTTATATTGGCAGATATCTTCACTGCCTGAAATTCTCTACTTATCTAACGATGGTTATGAGATATTGGATTGCTACGGTATCATTATGACAAGCAGGGGCGGTCTAGACTCTTGATGTAAAGTCGCGGATTTTTTATTCAAAGTTGCACCATAGAACCAGCCCGCAGGAATAATTTGATCTGTTATTGCTTACTGTGCTCGTCTTTCATATCGTGCGCACGTAGTTCAGCTACATACACATCGAAAGCGGTTCGTATCGTAGAGCGACTTAAGTGCTTGTAGGCAGTCTGCAATGGCGGGACTTCAGTCACGAGAAGTTGTAGCAGCGATAAAGAGGCTATTCATTAATAGGGTACGAAACTTTTCATTCAACTTCCCACGTGTCGCTGTAATAGATATTTCCACCAGCTGGCTAATTTAGTATTGAGAAGAAACGATCTCGCTTGCATGAACTGTGCTCCACATACGGTGAGAGGATCCAGGCAGCATCTCGGCTCCTTTGATAAATATACTGGAAAATACTTCAGGGCTGAATCCGAATGCTGAATGGATTATAATCTAGAATTAAGGCTAATTTGCTCGGGAAAACATTCCATATATCAAGGATATTGCAGCGAAGGGAAACATCGGATACAAGTGAGACCTTAGTATTTAAGTCGATTATGCCTTAATAAGGAACTTCGAGAAACATTTGAAGTGTAAATATGAAGAGTAATTCCAACGAAAAGTAACCAAGATATACGCTAATGTCAAGTGATGAAGCATTAGAACATTGAAAATTCTTCAGAGCGTTGAAACTTTACTAAGAAATTAAAACTACCCGCAGAGCTGAAAACATGACTTTTTCTCCACAAATAAATATTCAAAATAAGGCCTTATTGCGACACAGTTACATGTTAAATCGTTATCATAAAAAGTTGATCTCGTTACAATGGTTGCACGTCCAATAAGGAACTACATAAGCACATCAAGATGCAACACAGCCCTTACAATATGAGATTCGGTTCGAGACGGAAAAGTTCATCCTCACTTCCTGTATTGAAGATCGACTTCATCGTAAAAAACATGCCAAGTGTTCTTTAATCGTTTACACTGTCCGGCAAGTAACTTCGAGTGAAGGTGAAAGTAGCACGTAAGTAAATTTAGCTGTGACAATTCATAAGAATGCATTACATTATTAATCGGATCCAGAATTTGATGAATGGCAGAGAACTATTAAATATTAAAGCAGCGGTTGTTGCACAAAAACAATGTGCCAAGCCACCAACGCCGAGAAGTACGTTTTTATTGCAGAATAGTAATCCTGATATGGATCATTGAAGATTTTAAATAAATATTTGAAAAAATAAAATTTGTGAAGCTTTGAACACGAAAACAATGCAAAACATTACATTAGTCTATTTTCAGCATTGTAGTTGTACGTCAATATTCACGAAACTGCGAGACAACGTATTAGAAGATAAAAACGTTCTCCACGACAGATCTGTGAGAATAAACTTTCCAACTTACTAACCCTCGGAGGGTCACTATTTTAACTTTTTACCAGCAAATATTTTTTGTCGGTTCTAAGAGTTCAAGTGGCATTGTTTATAAGAATGAACTAACAACCGCTCTTGTCTAAAACTAAGCAATACTGCTGTCGAGGATGGTTACATTGTAATGGATGTCGGACTCGTGTTAGCGCGCACAGCAATCCCAAGCCGAACTCTAATGCATTTAGATATGAATTGCATGAGGCCTCCTAAGAAGACAGAAAGCGGTAGTCAACATACAAGGAATCAATGTAAACATAAAACAATACATTTTTAGACAATTGATTATGGGCAATAAATTATTGGCGACAACAGAGAAACACGACCAAGGAGCACGCAGAGTAGAGGGTATAAAAATAAAAACGTCTTCTAGATCTACACCTACTAACTACTACAACAGTCATGATAGGCGTTAAATAACTACTTGATATTAGACAATAAATATATTACGGGCTAAGATAATGGAAATATAAGAGTTCAGCAAATAACAGATTGCTAACAAAATTAGCACACGAAGAGCTGGTAAATATTTCAAGCAAGATCCTCACAAATATAACAATAAGAAGTAAATCCAGCGAGTCAAAAACACATATTAAAGCATATATTATTTTTGTTAACGTCACGTGGTATTTACAAATACTTTTAATATCATATTTATTTATATTTTCGTCACGTATTTCTTAAATAGTCACGTTAAGAAAACACTGAAGGAATATGCACAGCTTGCAGGAATAAATAGCTCGGACAAACCTTCAGTTTGAACCGAAGCGTCACTTACAAATGGTGGCAGGCAACCAAACTAAAGTCGACAATTACTAAGAAAACCTGGCAATAATGATAATTGTTCATGGCGTACATGTATAGATGAACCTAACGAAGCAAGTGAAAATGGCGTAAAGCGATAAAAAATAGACAAGGTCTAAAATATAAGCTGAAGATAATAAAAGAACGACAACACGGCAGACACCAAACCTAAATAACAGACTAAGCTAAGATACAAATTTTGTAGACGCTTCAGATGGTCTATACATAAGACTAACACCGTATAGACATAAATTAGGTGAGCAAGAAGCCAAATAGTTTACAGAGATTCTCGTGATATGTCTACAGCAACATCGATATCGCCATAAAAAGCCTTCATGTTGAAAATACAGAATATTAGTGAAACCGCAAAATGAAGACCATATTTGTGCATCCTAAACTACGGTTTCGGCCTACGACGCTTCACCAACAGTCAGTCAAAGAAACAGAAAGCAATGGCAATAAAAACATGCTTCTATGTCGTCTTCTAAGTGAAGCCAAAATTGCTCATTGAACCGAGCGATGAAATTTTTAACGCGACATTCAAGGCAACTGGTTGATGTGATGAAAATGCCAAGAAATTTAAGCCATTCAGTCACTAGATTCTTTATTGCAACTGGAATGCTGCTGAGTAATCCAGAGGACGGTGAACTCTTGCGTGAACCTGATATTCACTTTAAAGAATAGAGACAAAGTACCACCGAGACACGAGTGCAGCATAGCAGGAGTATCTTTAGTACAAACTAATTGAGTGTACACCTACATGATGTTGAGCTTAACTTCCTCGTACTTAGACTATAGAATCAGCAAGATAAATGTGAAAAAAAAACTACTTTCAACTTAAACCTTTACAACGTACATCAGAATTCTTCAAGGAACTAACTCATTCACCTGGAACATTGGTATATAATGCAGTTAACTATGAATAACATGCGGTTAGTTCGCAATTATGCGTATATTGCTAACGAATGAAACGTCACATAGAAGTTTACCAACATTTATATAACCGAGATAAGGTAAGATGAGAAAAAATCGGTGGCAGGCACAATACCGAACAACGCCCATGGAGTAAAATAAGATCCACTTGCGAGCAGTGAAACCAGCTGGGGAGCAGAAGCATTAAGATCAGACGCAGCTGGTGGTGTTGGCGTCGGTCTCGTGCTTGGCCAGCAGGGATGAAAACGACCGCTTGCCCGAGGGCCGTGGCAGTCGCGCAATGGCGGTGAACAGGCGTTGCTGGCAGGTGCTGGCGGGCAACCGCGTCAGGAACTGCGCTGCGGTGGTCGTACACTCCAGGGACAGCAGCTCACACTCGTAGAGCTTCAGGACTCCTGCAGCAGATGTGCACAAGTCAGTGGGGCGAGCCAAATAAAGTTAAGTGAAGGCGGAGAAGGGCTACGGTAGTGAAGTTTAGGCAAAACCGGGCACCAGAGCTACCGTAGTGATGTGTAGGCAGAACAGAGCTACTGTAGTGATGTGTAAGCAGAACAGAGCTACTGTAGTGAAGTATAGGCAGAACAGAGCTACTGTATTGAAGTGTAGGCAGAACAGAGCTACTGTATTGAAGTGTAGGCAGAACAGAGCTACTGTATTGAAGTGTAGGCAGAACAGAGCTACTGTAGTGATGTGTAAGCAGAACAGAGCTACTGTAGTGAAGTATAGGCAGAACAGAGCTACTGTAGTGAAGTATAGGCAGAACAGAGCTACTGTAGTGAAGTGTAGGCAGAACAGAGCTACTGTATTGAAGTGTAGGCAGAAGAGAGCTACTGTATTGAAGTGTAGGCAGAACAGAGCTACTGTATTGATGTGTAAGCAGAACAGAGCTACTATAGTGAAGTGTAGGCAGAACAGAGCTACTGTATTGAAGTGTAGGCAGAACAGAACTACTGTAGTGAAGTGTAGGCAGAACAGAGCTACTGTATTGAAGTGTAGGCAGAACAGAACTACTGTAGTGAAGTGTAGGCAGAACAGAGCTACTGTAGTGAAGTGTAGGCAGAACAGAGCCACTGTAGTGAAGTGTAGGCAGAACAGAGCTACTGTAGTGAAGTGTAGGTAAAATAGGGCTGGCTACTGATACAGAAATTTGACATTCCAGTTGGGCTAGACGGCAATCACCCATAAAATAAACAATTAAACTGCACCAATTTGAAAACATGACTACTAAACTTGCCACTTGTGATAGTGAATAATGACACGTGAACTCAACACTATAATAGTTGTGTCGAATTGAAGACTCATGACCTAGACAAGCTGATAGCAATATTGAGTAAAGCTAAGTGAACCAGACACGCTAGTTGTTAGTGAGTTATGACATGTAAACTAGACATGTTGGACACTCGATAAGTGAACCAGACACGCTAGTTGCTAGTGAGTGATGACATGTGAACTAGACATGTTGTAGACTTGATAAGTGAACCAGACACGCTAACGCCGTACTTGCAGCCCCGCCACCGCCGATCACATCAGTGGAGACCTCACTCCCCCGCCCCTACCGCTCAGCTCAACAAACAACAACAACAACCATGACATGTGAACTAGACATGTTGTAGACGTGATAAGTAAACCAGACACGCTAGTCGCGCTGGTGACGTCATCTCACCACAGGCGGCGCGGAAGAAAAACTCGTCGCCGTCGCGGATGAAGACGTCCCAGATGCGGGAGGCGGCGTCCAGGGGCAGGGAGCGAGTGAAGAGCGACAGCACCCAGTCCAGCAGGTACAAGTCCGGCGTCACCTGCAACCATACCAGCTTCTCGTCATGTATTATGGCACAAACGATATAACATCAATTTTCCCGGATTTTGTAAACCTGCACGAATGCATAACTATCTACAAGAAATGTGCACTAAATTCGAACACAATTGAAATACTCATGTTAAAAAAATATCGTGAAAATGGAGGTAGATGATGAAATAATATAGGTTTAAAAATTACTTTTTAAAGACAACACTTCTAAAGAATCCAGTTTCTCCAATGTTAAAGATACACAATGAACTTCTCATTTTATTTTCGAATATTAAAAAAAATTATTGTTCAATTTTTTTAATTTATAAAAAAAAATTTCAAAATTATTTATTCTGTCAATTGATTCATGCATTGCCTCCGACTTCACACAAGTGTGCAAAAGTTCAGATCAATTGGACAGGTAAAAGTGTGTCAAATATCAGTTATAAGATTTGTAGCTGACAAAATTATTTTTTAAATTTTTTTAAAATTGAATTTTTTTTTTATTTTTAAAATCATCTAATTTGTCATTGGATTCTTGCATTGTCTCCAACTTTACGCAAGTGTGCAAAATTTCAGATCGCTAGGATAAGTAAAAGTGTGTTAAATTTCGATTATAAGATTTGTAGCAGACAAACAGACAAACAAGAAGTGAAGTTAAAGAGAAGTGTTGTAAAAAATTAAATATTATGTCAATTCAACGTGTTACTGTGACATCTCCCAAGACGACTCTCTACGTAGATCACTCTCCTCAGCATCTTCAATGCTCAATGATCAGTAGCTCAGTCCTCTAATGCTATAAATACGACATCTTCCAAAATACAAATAATCACTCGCGCAAAAATGGCAAGTGCCATTGTGCAATAATTATTTCGCGAATTGTGCAACAAAAATATGAAACATAATCTGTGGTGCGACAAAAATGTAACAAATAATTCTATGTAAAAAAAATATCAAGCAGCAGTCAGTAAGGCTAAATCTCAAGACCGGGATTTCGAATGGAACGTGCAAATAAAGTAGGGACGCGTCAAAAGGAGAAATTGTGACGTGTCAAAAAGAGAAGTAGTGACGTGTCAAAAAGAGAAATAGTGAAGTGTCAAAGAGAAATAGTGGCATTTCATGAGGAATTTAATGCAGCAGGTCATAATGACTGCACGGCAGCTGTCAGCAGCAGCGCCAGAGAAGACAAAACGCCAGAGTCTGCCGTCAGAACTTCAGAACTGAGTGTTGAGTAGCTCAAAATCAAGGCCGTCAGTATAACAGTAGCAGTGGTACCGTAGACAGTTTGTATGAGCTTCACAAAGACGTTAATCTGCATCGAAGGCACAATCTTAGGTTCTTTGGAATTATTAAGCCTCTTTTGTAGCTCAGATTGCAGAGCTGAACCATCGAGCCGGAAGAGTTCGGTGCCAGATTATTGGTTCTCAGAGCGGTAGTGTGGCATTGGTGGTCTCGGTTTGATGCGCCAGACAAACTGTTGAAACTGTTTGACAAACTGTCACGGAAGTGATTTTGTCCGGCACTCAACTCGGGAAATTTCATGTGAAGGCATGTGAAGTTTCTCTGGCAAATGGTGAAGAGGAAATACCGGCAAGTTATCATGCTATATATCCAGTAGCAGATGGCATTCAGTTATCGTTTGATTTTAATTGAGTGTCATCAACCATGATGTCATTAGTCTCCTTACATCACCTTCTGTCATGCCACTGTGGTGGATATCACTCTATATAAGCTCTTCAAGCTGACCACCAGTCAGTCATAGGCAGGCACAGCCAGTCATAGACTGGCTATGGACCAGTCATAGAACAGAAGTCATAGCTGCAGTCATTCGCAGCTAACCCTAGACGCGTCAACTAGGGCTATCGACTAAGGCACTCGCTACCATCTCGTAGTGTCATTAACTTTACCTTCTCAGTTATATTGTATAAAACTCATCGTGCCTTATCCTGTGATCCTATATATAATAATATATACTAAACAAGTACGTACACATTTCATCATTCATCCCTGCCTCATTTGTAATGTGGACGATAAATAAGAACTCTGTAACCCTCAGGAAAGAACTATATTATAAGATGATCTGGACTGATCAATCTATCAAAGCAATATCAGGTCTTCGCTGTAAAATGGCGACCAGACATATATGTAATCAACTTGTAATCAACTCGTTCAAAGCCCTGGCGAGCATTTCGTCTAGCTGTGTTAGGATAGCAGTTTTGTTGAATATCAGTGGGTCTGGGACATTCTTGCAGTACGTGCAGTAGTCAGAAGGACCTGACAGTCGTCATATTATAGCAGGAGGTCGCTGTGTGTACGGCGCATGTGACCTATCCTCACTTTACACGTGCCACTCTCATTCGTTGGTCGATGATGTATGTTTCACAACTGTGCCCTGTCATAAATATATCTGAGCTTGGTTTTTCTCGCGTTAAATTTAGGGTAATGTAACCGGAATGCGAATTTCCGTCTCAACGATATCTGATGAAGCAGCGCCCATTGCCGCCATGAACATCCTGTCTGTGGTTTACTCATACTTACATATCTAAGTAATCAGAGCCCAGCGGCGTGTCACAGACAATAACTCGCCACGTATTACTGCCACCAAATTAACACGCACATCACACTCAGCCATAGAAGATCACCTGGAGTTTCTGGAGGTGGGCATGGAGAACGGGCAGCAGGGAGGCGACGAGGCTGCTGTGCGTGCGGTAGTACGCCAGCATCTGCTGGCATATGTCATTATTAGAATGCTTTATTCAACCTCTTCATTTACATTCTATTTACTGACTTTGGTAGGCCATTGGGTTTGGCAGACTTCACAACGAATCCATAAGCATACCATTAAATGTTAAGAATTACTACACACTAGAGTCTGCCTTTAGCTATTAATTTTCAAACTAGCGCTATGTATGTAGTAGTAATAGTCCAAAATCATCTACATTAACGATCAACATGTCAACGATTCAGCTAATTAAATATTTTAAATTTCGTTATTGTGGTTGTACGTGAAGGTGATGTTGTCTGGCTATCAAGCATTTGCATGACGATTGCATTAGTAAATACATAACATGTATGACATCAAAAACGCACTTCTTTTAAAGCTCATGTTTCGTAGTCTTTTTTTTAAAGATTTTTTAATAATAATTGAGAAATGGGTTACATCACAAATCATATCACATATAAATAAGTATAAATAAATGAAGCGACCATAAAAAGCAGCATTGATAATTTGATTAATAAATAACCAACAAAATTATAGAATCGGAAGCGTATTATGTAGATATTGGAAACTAAATGCAAATGAATTCACTTTTTTCTCGTGGAGAGAGAAGAAGGCCTGGAGCAACGGCTTGCTGAGGAGGTTCGCGAAGGCGATGAAGGCGTCACTCTCGGGCATGTTGAGCAGCAGCGTCGCCGCCAGGAAGCTCATGCCCTGCACGTACCCGATGTCGGGACGACACCTCACGTAGCTCTGCAGCACGCGGTCCAAGCTCGCGTGGTATGGCCCTCCCTGACAACACAAGCACTATAGTCAGACCACTTCTGACGAGGTATCAAGTCTTAATTTTAATGTGACAAGCAACAGAGTAAAGCCGAATTTTAGATCAACACAGAGCTATGGAACTATTTGGGATGATCTTAGTTGTATTTATAAGCAAACTAAGGCAGGATACAAGTTAATTGGAATAACAGCGTACATGTAATTCTTTTCTGAGTTTGTTGCTTTATAGGATGCTAGTAAGTCAAATCTTTTCTTTAACATGAGAAAAACTTGAAACAGTATATTTTTATCACCTGCTGAAAGATCCCAAGCTGTGGAAATGTACGTGAAACATCAAGGGAGATGCAGTCAGCACTCTGAGCCACCTGTAACCAACTGGTGCCAGCCAAGCCACAGCTGTTATCACTGCTGCTAGCATTGCTGTAGCCGCTGTCCTCGTGGTCTTGAAAACAATCGGCACAATCATCAGTTATTCGGCAACGCACCAGAGGAGAGGGCGGCACGACGTGAGGCTCAAACGGGCCTGATAAAACATGGAACTGAGAAGCCGCCATGGAAGAGCTTGTGCCGGTGGTCGTGTATTGAGACACAGCTGAGGTATCGCTGGGGCCAGAAGTGACGTGGTATTGAGGTACCACTGATGACTCATTGATACCAGGCGTAATGTGGTACTGAGGTCCCATTGAGACCTCGCTGGTGCCAGGCGCTATACGATACTGAGGCATGAATGTCTGACAAGGAGATCTCCTCCAGCCAGCCACCTCCCGGTGGTCTGGGACGCAGCAATGATTGACCTGATGACCCACCGACACACCTGAGCTTGCCGACAACCTGCTCACTTCTCGCTGTAAATGCTCTTCATTGCTTCTGTAGACAATGTACATCAGAATTAAAGGGAGCTCAAAATCCTAACACGACCCACTTTTATAAAAACCAAAGGCATTAGAGAATAAATAACAGCAAAAAAATAACACGAGCACAAAAGAACCACAATTCACACTTTGTTGACAAGCTTAGAGGGCAAAATGCATATGATGGAAAAGGGATAAATTAATACAAGTATACTAGACTAGGTACATTGAAGAAGAAAAGGTATGGCATATCAAACTAACCTTTCTTGCAGCAATTCATAGAGATGAGGGGACACATTGAGGGCATTACCGATAGCCAGGCTCCAAACCTTGCCTCTGATGCTAGGGGGCAGCCCCTGCCACCACAACTCTCTGCATTTTTTAGTGTCTCGCTTGGCCGCAAAATCAGGTAGTATTTCATCAGTCCAGACGGCAGCAGCTTCTGCCATTTGCGCTTCCTGCTGTAGTTTGAGGTGCTGTAGACGTTGATGCTGTTGTTGCATGTGCATCTCTTTACGTCTGCTCTGCTGTAACAGCTGTTGGTGCTGCTGTTCGTGCATGATTCGCTCTTGGTCACTCTTGGCTGGCAGATGTGCAGGGCGGGACTCCATGATGAGACCTGCCGTGCCTGCCAGAGGCTGGCTTGTGACGAGGCTCTGCAATCAGAAAGCAAGTAAGTTTGGCTGAAAATGAATGCAGGATAAATTGAACTCGTTTGAAGACATCTTGGAGTTAGCTAGTGCTAAGATGAAATATTTCAAGTTACCACACATGGTAAACCAACTGCAAAAGGATCAAACTCAACTTAATTCTTTACATAATGAGCGTGAGAAGTAGCCAAGTTAGCACAAAAATACTTCCATTTCACTTCAATATGTCAGGTTATTTGTGAGCTACACTGGCATATTGTACCTGCTCCTGTGAAGAGGATAAATATATTGTTGCGATTTCTTCTGAGATTTGTTCTACTTTAGAATGGATTATATTTCTGAATGTGTTGTAAAATTGTCTTCAATTCAAAATTTGATTCAACTCACAACTGGTTACAATTTAAAGTAAAGTCAACTTGAAAATTGATGCCTACTTTAAAATTTTTTTATTTTACACAACTTTAATATTATGATTATTTGGATGACAGGAAAAACAATAATTAATAATAGCCATGAGTGGAAATATATAGATTCTTCAAGAGCATTTGCACATGACATGACTGGAAAATATAACTCAACATCAAATTTCATTCAACTCGTACTGAAAATCATGCAATGAATAATTGAAACCATCTACTCAATTATAAGTGAATATAAATGAAGAATAGCTAGCAAAAATTCCTTACCTTCTGTGAATTTTTAAAGCCTAACTTTTCTAGTAGCCACCAGCCTGATGAATTTTTATTATTTGCCTCATGTGACGGTGAGGTGTTGACAGAGGAGTTAGCATCACTCTTTACACCGTTAGCATGGCCTGATTTACCAGCATCATACACTCTCCAAGGAGAGTTGGGAGTAGACCTTGTAGAAGAAGGAGCGTTTTTGCTCAGTGTGGAATATGATGCGGATCTTTGGCTGTCACACAATTTAGGGTTTCTAGAGTAAGTAGAGGCTTCACTTGTGTTCTGGGCAGTCGATTTGCCATTGTTCACAGAAGAGCCAGCAACTTTTGTAGTTGAAGGAGTTTGATGAGGAACAGTACACTTCTCAATAGAAGATGAATTTTGCACTTTAGTAGCTTGGGAGACTGGAGTTGACTCAATAAGCTTATCTCCATCACAGTCTTGCTTTCTCCAAGTGAATAGTTGCCTGTGAATATGAGAAGAATTAACAATAAGATCTAAAAAATACGTCACTAATGGATTTAAAGTGGTAGCTTGCTAAAATGAAAGCAAACAAACAATGGAAACAAAGAGTGTAGGCATTAAAAACCTGGCTATAAGATTCAATATCAATGTACATTGAAATCACCTTGAAATGAAGTTGGCAAATCCATGCTTTTCTTCAACTGATGAATCTGCTACACTTCCCTCAGACCCAAACATTGATGTGTGCTGCATTTTAGAGCGGATTTCACTCCTGAGTATTTGTGCATCTGAAGTGCTTGACAAACTTCTTGATCTTGAGAGGAGGACATCCTTCTGGGTTTTATTGCCTGTTGGTTCAAATAATTTGGAAGAAGACTCAGGCTTTGCATTGAAGAAGGGCTTTTCAAAACTCCTGGAACTCGAATCTTTCCACCCATATCCTCTTTTCATCAAGCTCTTGGATTTCTGCCCTAGCTGTGCATGTGAAATGCCGACCTTGAAACTTGTATTACCATCAATATCTGTGATACATGGTGAGCTTTCATTGCCAGATTTTTGAAAATTTTTATGGCCAGCAGGAAGTTTATCCGTGTTCTTGATTTTTTGTGACTCTAAAGCAGAACTCTTGAACATATAATCAGAGTAACTATCAAAATGAGCAAGTAAGTTGGCTTGGATATTCGTCTGCTCATCTATGCATTGATTTTGAAGATCAAATGCTTCAGTCAATTTTTTTGATTCAGTTGAAGGTTCATTGAAATTAAAAGACTCAGAATTGGAAGAAGAAGATAGGAGGTCACCAGCACAGATTTGAGAATCATCTGATTCTTCAATTGGAAAACACTTGCTTGAGGCACTGAAGGAATGAGAAGACTGCATCTCAAAATCATTTCGTGATGACTTATCATATTCTGATGTTATTGGATCAGAATCAATACCATTTCCAGAGTATGAACCTGCTTGAAAACTACTGGACTTGTTGAAGATTTCCTGGTTATTTTGTAACAAAGATGCATGGCTAGGCCCCATTCCTGGACACTCTGCAACACTTAGTTGATCAACTTGTGTTTCCAAATCAAAACTCAGATGAGCATCATCAAGCAACTTCACTTCAGGTTCTTCTTTGGTTAGCCTTGGAGAGTCCAACTCAGATACAGGATTCTCTATGATAGAAAAATCTGTACTAGACCTTGAATGTGGCTTTCCATCAGTCTTCCTTCCATCTGGTTTGGGTTGCAAATCAGGTGCATTGTTGACAGTGCAAGATTTGTACTTTCCTGCATTGGATGCCAAGCTTCGAGATGAAATCTTAATGCATGAAAGCACCTGACGAGAAGTTCCACTAGCGCTGTTACCAAGGCCATGCTGTGATGGACCATTGTGGCAGGGAGATGCTGCAGTTGCGTCATCTGTATCATCATTTGCAGTAATTTCATCAGCGTGAGTGCTGAGCTGCTCATACCTGCCACTCATATCCGAGGGGAGTCAGAGCAACACGCGCACTACAAATGAATGAACAATATAGTCTAGCCTAGGCACCTCCATGGCTATGTTTTTTGTAGCAATATCTGCAATGAAAATTTGGTAAATTTAAATGTCAAGTAACACATCAAGTTAAATACAAGATCAAATTTAGAAAAATCGCTCTAGGTTAAATTTTATACATTTCATTCATTAAAATTTCTATGATGTGATGCAGGTGCACTTAAATAGCAATTCAAGTTATGGTGATAGTGTAAATAATATTTCTTTCCTAAAATAAATTTCTAGCAATATAAGTAAAGAAATGTACCGTAAAATGGGGTTACTTTGACTCCTGGGGTAACTTTGACCAATTTTCATTTTTTTAACAAAAACCCCCAAAACTCATAAAATATTTGACATAGAAAAATTTTGTCAATGGCCATTAAAGGCCTAATACTGAGGCTATATAACACAATAGAAAGATGTAAACAGTTTGCATATCTAATAGGTTAAAAAAATTTTAAATGTGACCCATGAAAAAGAGCTATTATTTAAAGCCTGTTGGAATACCCCCTCCAATTTTTTTAGTTTTTGGTAAAATAACTCCAGGTTTTGATGCATTGTATTAGAACTCTTCTAGTTCCATATGCAAATTTTAGGAAAGTGTCATAGTTTGCAAATGGGGGGTCCCGCCCCCCAATGGGGGAACTTTGACCACCTATAATGGCAGCCATGATGGGTAACATTGACCGGCTTGGAAATTAAGTTAAAATTACCATAGGTATACCTATATAACATATTTTATGTTTGATACACCTATTAATGTTTTTTCTTTATGTTTCAGACTCTACAGAGTCTTATATATGGTAATTTTAACTCCAAGCCGGTCAATGTTACCCCATCACAGCTGCCATTAGGAGGTCACATTTTGCCCATTGGGAGGCAGTGCCCCTAATTAGCAAACTATGACACTTTCCTAAAATTTGTCATGTGCATATGTAACTAGAAGAGTTCTACTACAATGCACCAAAACTTGGAGTTATTTTACCAAAAAATATAATTGATTTAACCACCCAGTCAAAGAAACCCCAAGAGCTGGGGTAACAAAGACCATCACTTTTTTTGAAATTACATCAAAACTATGAGAGGTAAGAGCCAGCAATTTAGTATAATTGAAGCTAGATTATAGACCTGTATTTTGCATGTTTCAATTCAAGTTTAACTCATCTAGTAAAAAAATGACATCATTTAAAAAAAAAGTGGTCAAAGTTACCGTCAACCGGGGCTACTCGGGACAGTTTTGAGCTTTTTTTTGTTAATAACTGTTAATAACTTCTTATGATGAAACATTTCATAAACAAGTTTAGGCTCATTTTATAGCTCTTTGCAAGGGCTATCGAATGGCATTGTAAAAAAAATTTCATATGCTATTCGCAAGGTGCCAGAAGCAAAAAAAAGAGTGTCCCGAGTAGCCCCGTCGAACGGGGCTACTCAGGACACTTGCAATCAAACTTCATTTTAAAATATTTGAAGCATGCAGAGTGTACTCATCCATTACTAACAATACTCTGAAATCCTCCTCTTTCATTGTAGATGATGTAGAGGTAGAATGAATAACATTTTCTGTGATTTTTACTTGTTTTTCCATTATTGATATGATATTACCATAAACATTAATTACCCTCAACTGGGGTGACTTGGGCGTAGGGTCGTAAACGAGGTCATAAATGCCTGAGTGACTTTGGCCATCGTTTATGACCCCGCTTTTGTTTGCAAAACAAAATAAAAAATGCGGCCGAAGTCACCCCAGTTGAGGGTACCATATTATTGATGCGATATTACTGTATTATTGATGCAATATTACCGTATCCATGAACATGCCATTGAGCATTTACAACAACCTTGTACACTGCAAGCTTCATGTCAGCAGCCTTATAGCATTTCTTCTGTATATCTGTAAGCTTACAGGACAGCTTGTAATTTCACACCATTTTAATTGGGTTAAGTGAATTTACTATAAAAAATATAACTCAGTACTCACTGCAGTGAGTGACAGAGCGCACATTTTCTCGTGGACGAAAACTCGAGGTCACGGACGGACGGACAGATGGATGGACATGACGAGCACAATAGTGCATTTTTTCCATAAATGAGAAAATGCGCTGATAAGATAGTGAAAAACATACCTGAAACAGGAAGGAATGTTTTAGTGACAACCATCATATGTTTTGGAGAAATAAATCATAGTTTAGGTCAATTACTTTTCATTCTATGATTCCTGGTGCACAATTCTAAATATGACATTCTATGCACAATATTGTGATGACCGATGATGCACTAATTTTTCGATATATGAACTTTTTTTCGCTCAGCAAGGTAAATGTAATTAATATTCGTTGTTTTTAATCAATTTTTTTCTTAACTGGAGCCTTTGCTAATTGAGGTTCTACGGTAAATGCGCTTTTGGGGGTGTCCCGAATAGCCCTGAGGGGGGTTGTCCCGAGTAGCCCCGCAGTGCGGAAATGACCGCCATTTTTTTTTTTTAATGAGATTGGCAAAATCTGTCAATTACGTTTTCAAGCCGACACCTGGGTGCAACTTTTATGTGAGTAAAATTTTTTAATATGGTGAATATTTTTTTTCCTACAGACATTAGCAGAAGTAACTTTTCAAAGCTAGTGAATGTAGTATTTTTGAACTTCCTTTATACTACATAGATAGGAAAAATGTTGAAGTTTACGCCACTATATTTAGTTTTGCAATATTCCAATTAGTTTTGCTACTAAAACAGTTTTACGCCATGTCCAAGGACTGTCCCGAGTTACCTTGCCCGTCCCAAGTAGCCCCGGTTGATGGTACCCCATTTTACGGTATCAATTTTGAAAAATCATGATCAAATTTTGTTCTTTCAAACAATATTCAAAATTCATAATTATCGAAGCTGGAAATTGGTGGATGTGACTGTGTGTGAGCAAGAATAAATAAACATTTGAATTTTGTGATTACTGTGGCATTGCCTATAGTTTGGCAGAGTGTTGCTGAAGGTGCTGCAACTAATAGTGGGGCTCATTTATATGCATGGCTCATTTTGAAACATGGGAAAAGGACTGGGTGAGTATGCTTGAAATTTGAACAATACAATCCACATGAAGAAAGCATGGGAAGTAATGATCACATGTGGAGGTGTGGACACATCAGGTCAGACTTCTGCATCTGTCAGTCAGATAGCTTGTAGTCCAATTTCCACAAAGTAAAAATAGCACACTACTCAGAAGGCTGAATATATATAATTAAAAAATAAAAAGCATTTTCTATGACATCTGAAGGGCCAAAAATATAAAAGCATCCCAAAACAGGTGTTTTGTTATTTGGTAAGGTACTAGGTATTCTAATAATTTTCTTCCATGATCAGGGTTGGCAATGATTAAATCAAAATGATTAAATCATGTGATTAAATCACATGATTTTTTTATAAAAAATCATGATTTTTTTTTATTTTTTCGATTTTTTTCTATTTTTTCATATATTAAAATATATTGAGTGGCAGTCTTTAATTTATATTGAGGTATTGTTATTCATGGTTTTGTATAAATGTACTATAAATGACAAATTGGTATATTAACTTGTTGCCTTTAGTGTGTATTAGGTTCCAATAAATGGTATGTTTTTGGTACAGAGGCATCAAGTGTGCAATACATTGTACATAGCTAGCAGCTTAACTAATTCTTATGAGGCTATAAGTAGTCTTTAACTATTTGACTATTTGTTATATATTGATTACAATATACAATTTAAATGTGTTAGCTAGCTTATACTTAGTCGGTGTGTATAGAGGGTAGAGTCTGATAGATTTTTAGGACATAAAACTAGTGGATCTATTGATAGTGCTGTGCACTGTGCTATCAGCTACCTATCTGTTATGTGACTCTTCAATGTTTAGAAGATTTGCATTCCTGAAGTGTTTTAGTATATTGAAGCCAGTTAAATGGTCAATATTTAGCTTATTACCTTGCTCCATACAAACTTTACAAAGCTAATGAATAGACATAGTACCAATAATTGTTTACCCAAAAATTCCTAAGTGGTAAACACCTCCTTGGCCTGTTGGCCATTATTGAAGGCAATAAGTGCCCTTTTTAGCCATACATTATGATCCATATACTGTTATTGTTAGTAGGCTAATTGCAACATAAAAAATAACACATCAAAAAGACAAAAAAGTTAAAAAAAATCAAAAAATCAAATAAATAAAAGAAATCATTAAAAAATAAAAAAAATCATTGATTTTTGATTTTTTTGATTTTTTTAAAAAAATCACCAACCCTGTCCATGATTCATCTTTACTTCCTTCTTGCCATCCACATCCCTTCTCTTGGCTTCCACAAGCTGCCTAAATGTATTCAGCATCTCCTATCATAGCCACTAATAATCATTCCTATGACCAACCATTACAATCCACTCCTCACATGTTTGGTTCACCCATTCCCCATACCACTCCTCTCACTCCTTCACTCATCTTCCACTCTCTCATTTGACTAGTAATGTACTGTCATGAGCTCCTTTGGTCCTTCCCATCTTGTCACTCATCAAATACTCAATAAACACCCTCATGCAAACTGGGTATGTCAATTCACCCCTCTTGTCATATCTCCACCCAAGCCAAGTACCGGTATGTCCCAGTCCCACCTCAGCAGTCATTATACATTCATGCCTTAGCATCTTGGCAACAATTATAAAAAGAAGTGGATTCAGGAGCAAGTTTAATAAGTGACAAAGCTACATTATTAGGGCACAATATTTTGTGCAACAATTTTTTTGCAAACTGTAGCCTAGTAAAGAGGAACTGTAGGTTAAATATAGAAATAAAGAAATATTCAATTTACATTTGACTTATTCCCACTATATAATCTAAATATTTTTTTTATGCTTTGATACTCATTACCTATATCCCTCTGGTTCTATCTACATATTAACAAATAATATCCTAAAAATCATGTTTGTAATAAATAATAATAAAAGTTCATTTAGATGAATAGCTCATTTAACAGAGTAACTCATTGAGAGGAAACAAGAAAAAATTTCTTGCTAAAAAACCCACATAGGT